TATATTAATATGTACAACTAAAATTACTAATAAAGATATGAGCAAGGCCTCACCTTAACACCAAAAAAAAAAAAAATCATAGTAGGAGATGATTTATTTAGTTGTATACTAATATCCAAGAAAAGCAATTTGTTGTTAGCTTGAATAAGACAATTTAGTATATTAATATACATAGTTATTAGAAATTTGAAAAGTATAGCTATCATATCTCTAAGCTTTTTTTTGAATTTTTTAACTATGCAAATTTAGAATTATACAGAAAATCACAAAAACTGTTTAATAAAAATAAATTAAATTTACTTTGCCAAGCACTTGTCTTATTTACTACTTTATAGTACTGATCACAGAATTCTTATTCTATATGACTGATCAATATTTCAATATAATACCTGGCCAAATTTCATAGATGCAAAATGTAGTACAAGCTGTAACCATTAGTACAATTAAGAGTCAATTGAAACTACTTTTATATATTAGATATGCATTAAATATCTATATTCCAAAAAATGTATCTTTCCTTTAACAAATGATATGAAATCATTTTTTTGCATGAACATTCCTTAGGACCAAAACTTGGTTTTAACAAAACTGTGGCATATGTTAACTATAGTAAACCTACTATCATTAAATGGCTTCATAGATACCATCAGAATAAAAACTTAAATAGCAGAAAAAGACCTGGCCCAAAACATATTACTGCTATCATTCAAGACAAAAAAATTGTACAAATGACAAAAAAAAAAATCTTTATAACTAGCACCAAAATACAAAAAGAACTTGAAAACAAAGATGTTAAAGTTAGTACAAGAACAGTTAGGCAGCACCTAGTTAAGACTGAAGGAAAATTTAGGTGTAGACTTTCAAAACTACTGTTTAGTAAAAAACACTATGTGAATCATCTTGAGTGGGCTAAAAATCATAATAATTTTAATTGGGATCATGTAATTTTTATTGATGAAAGTACTTTTCTTTATTTCAATACAAAAGAAAGATGTGGCAGTTCATTGAACACTGTAAAGTATTTCATACTGTTAAGCATTCTCAGAAAGTGCATGTTTAAAACTGTTTTTGTTCACAAGAATTTAGAGAACTAGTATGGTTCACAAAGAATCTCAATAGTGCTTTTATATATAAAATATATGAGAAAGGTTTATTATCTTCTGCACAAAAGTATTTTGATGAAAGTTGTAAGAAATGAATCCTCCAAGAGGATAATAATCTGAAACATTACTCAAAAATTTGCAAAAAATAGAAGGCTGATAACAAAATTAAAGTTTTTTTCTAGCTATTGATATTATCAGATCAAACCCAATCAAAAATATGTAGTAACTAATAAAAATAAAAATACAAAAAAAAAAATTAAAACAGTTAAAAGTTTGAAAAGTAAATTAACAAAAGAATGAGACTAACTTTTAAATAAGCTTGCTGCTAATTTAATAGCTAGTATATGTAATTAAGTTTTAAAGTTAATTAAGACAAATGGAGATTTTACAATGTATTAAAATTTATATTATATCTATACTTAAAAATAAAAAAAATTTTGTTATTGTATTGAAATATCAATTGGTTATATGGAGATAGTGGTCCTATGATCAGTACTATATCATAAATGCTAAAAGAAAATTTTAATTAGTTCTAAAATATATTTAATAATTTTTTTTTTTTTTAAATATTAATGGTGAGGCCATGCCTCTATCTTTATTGAATATTCAATTGAGATTTTAC